TTCCTGTTTCATTTTTTGCGCATCCCATAAAACACTTCTATCCCGCCTTGAATGCCAAAAAAAACTTTCAAAATAACTTCTACCCACAATAAAGAAGAAATGTTGTAAATTTTAGACATTTTAGATGTTGGTAGAAGTGTTTTATGGGATGCGCAAAAAATGAAACAAGAAAGACTTTTTGGGACGGAGGGAGTAATAGGGAAAGCATTGATGAAAGAAAATGATAAAATTAAATTATAATAATAACATATATATATATATATAAGTAGTATATTAATTGGACAATCAATCTTCCAATTTAATATGATTTGACATAATGTACGCATGGAGTCACTCGCCAATTTTACTACGCACATGGTTCAAAAGCAATAACTATCCATTTATTTATCTTGATTTGACATAAAATTTGTAGCGAGTTACGCACCAACATTACTACGCTTGCGGTTTCATATCAATACACTACTCATTTATTTATTTTAATTTGATATAAAGTTTGCATGGAGGCACACACTAAGTTTACTACGCACGCGGTTCCATAGCAATACTGTACTCATTTATTTATTTTAATTTGACATAAAGTTTGTATCGTGTCACACACTAATATTATTACGTACGTGATTTCATATCAATACACTATCCATTTATTTATTTTGATTTGACATAAATTCTGCTTCGAGTCACGCACCAAATTTACTACGCACGCGGTTCCATATCAATACACTACCCATTTATTTATTTTGATTTGACATAAAATTTGCATCGACCCACGCCCCAACATTACTACGCACGTGGTTCTATATCAATTCTGATGGGTATATCCTTATACCCGACCCGGACAACCGAAAGGGACAGGTCAAAATATGACCGGTCACTTTTATCAATCACCAAATGAGGTTAACTCTTCGATTGGAACGGGTCAAAAGTTGACCGGTCGCTTCCACTAAAAAAGTGACCGGTCACATTTTGGGCGATAGCCAAAATGTCGCCTAATGTTACAAAGGGCATTCTAGAAGACCAGAGACGGGTTGAGCACAAAGAATGACCGGGTAACTTTTGAGAGAAGGTGACCGGTCATATCACTTTACTTGGCTAACATTGGTTCAGTCTCATAGGCATGGTGAACCACGTCAGAGGTCAAGGGGACACCCCGCCGCTCATCCATCACGAGGCACACAGTGAAAGGGATGTTTGTCATTTTGCAGGGTTGATTGGATTGAGAATATCCATTTTAGTCTTTGATTGAACAGTACATGTCTTGGCTTATAGTTGCTAAATTCTATGATTGTACAGTGCTTCCATTATCTACAGTGACCTTCCCACGAGCTTCCTATTTTGTCCATGGATGAACAGGGGA